CACTCATGTATAAGCTACAAAAAGATCTCACAGAAGGAAAAAGTAGAATAGAGGATACTAGAGGCTGGGAAGGATGGGGGAAGGGAGCGACAGGGAGCGATCTGCTAAAGGATACAAAATGATAGCTAGATAGGAGGAAGTTTCTAGTGTTCTCCACCACCGCAGGATGACTCCAGTTAATATATAGCTTCAAACATCTAGGAGGAGGAGTCTGAATGCTCTCAACACAAAATGATAAATATCTGAGATGACGGATATGCTAATTACAATGATCAGATCACTATACATTGTATGTATTGAAACAGCACTACGTACCTCATGATATGTACATTCTATGTCAGTTTTTTTAAAGTCTAAAAATATTTAAAAGACCACACTTCAACTGCAGAATTTCTGATGTATTTGGTCTCCTGTAGAGGTTCAGACATCAGTTTTTCATTAAAATTCTCCAGATAACTACAATCTGCAGGTATGGTCCATAACCATTGGCCCAAGAAGATACTGACATAAAAAGACTGATGACAGAATTAATGGTCAATAGTAAACCACTTACTAAAATCTTCTAAGAATTGGGGAGAGAGAGATCCAAGATGGCTGATCACTAGCAGCTCAGGATTGTAGCTCCCACTGAAAACGCAAAGAACCAGAGGACGCCACACCTTCACATGAATTCTTGTTGCTCACGCACCAGGAGATTCCCAGTGGAGGAGCCCCACGGGTCGCCAGCGCGACTCTTGTGACCGGCGAGGCGGTTTTGCCGGCGCCTCGGAGCGTCGGTTCTTGGTGCAGAGTCGGAAAAGCACCATCAATCCTAAGGCCGCTGATTTGGTCGGCGCAGTGGGTTGCTCAGATTTCGGCGCTGAGAATCGGTGAGTTGGACGTCCACTCAGAAACCCAATTGCAAAGACGGTAATTATAAAGACCACAGATGGATAAATCTACAGCGAAGAGAAGAAAACAGCCAAAAAAGGCTGAGAATACCCAAGATCAAAACGCCTCTTCCTCAGCAGGGGATCCCAGTTCCTCATCAGCAACGAAACAAGGCTTGATGGAGAACGAGTGTGTTCCAATTACAGAAGCAGGCTTCAAAACGTGGATAATAAGAAACTTCTGTGAATTAAAAGAACTTGTTCTAACACAATCTAAAGAAACTAAGAACTTTGAAAAAAGGTTTGACGAAATGTCAACAAGAATACAAAATTTAGAGAGGAAAATAAGTGAATTGATGGAGCTGAAAAACACAATACGAGAACTACGTGAAGTATGCACAAGTTTTAACAGCCGAATTGATCAAGCAGAAGAAAGGATATCAGAGGTCGAAGACCAACTCAATGAAATAAAACAAGAAGACAAGATTAGAGAAAAAAGGATAAAAAGGAATGAGCAAAGTCTCCAAGAAATATGGGACTATGTGAAAAGACCTAATCTACGCTTGATAGGTGTACCTGAGTGTGACGAAGAGAATGAATCCAAGCTGGAAAATATGCTTCAGGATATTATTCAGGAAAATTTTCCCAACTTAGTAAGGCAGGATAATATTCAACTCCAGGTAATACAGAGAACACCACAGAGATATTCCTCAAGAAGAGCAACTCCAAGGCACATAATCGTCAGATTCACCAGGGTTGAAATGAAGGAGAAAATACTAAGGGCAGCCAGAGAGAAAGGTCAGGTTACCCACAAAGGGAAGCCTATCAGACTCACAGCAGATCTCTCAGCAGAAACCCTACAAGCCAGAAGAGAGTGGGGACCAATATTCAACATCCTTAAAGAAAAGAACTTTCAACCAAGAATTTCACATCCAGCCAAACTAAGCTTCATAAGTGAAGGAAAAATAAAGTTTTTTGTGAACAAGCAAGCACTCAGAGAATTCATCACCACCAGGCCTGCTTTACAAGAGCTTCTGAAAGAACCACTACACATAGAAAGGAACAAACAGTATCAGCCTTTCTAAAAAATACCAAAAAGTAAAGAACATCAGTATAATGAAGAATTTATATCAACTAATGGGCAAAATAGCCAGCTAATATTAAATGACAGTATTAAACTCACATATATCATTATTAATTCTAAATTTAAATTGACTAAATTCCTCAATTCAAAGACAGGCAATTTGGACAAAAAACTAAAACTGTATGCTGCATCCAGACCCATCTCACATTCAAGGATACACAAAGACTCAAAACAAGGGATGGAGAGAGACTTACCAACCAACCAGAGAGCAAAAATAAATAAATAAAAAGCAGAAGTTACAATTTTTGCCTCTGATAAAATAGTATTTAAAGCAACAAAGATCAAAAGAAGCAAAGAAGGACATTATATAATGATAAAAGAATCAATGCAACAACAAGAAGAGTTAAAGGTCCTAAATATACACGCACCCAATACAGGAACACCCTTATAAAGAGACTTAGACTCCCACATAATAATAGTGGGAGACTTCAACATTAATATTAGACAGATCAATGAGACAGAAAATTAACAACGATATCCAGGACTTGAACTCAGATCTGGAACAAGTAAACGTAATTAACATTTATAGAACTCTCCACTTTACACAAAATATACACTCTTATCAGTACCACATCATATCAACTTAGAAGTTTAAACGAAATGTTGGTTGGCTCCTTGTTTGTTACTCTCTTCCCTCATTTTCTTTCATGTCTCCATTATTAAGGACAATTATAGGCATACCCATATTTAGACTGCATTCTAGCCCGGGCAACAAAGCAATACCCCCATTCTCTCTCCCTCTTCCTCTTTCTCTTTCTTCCTCTTCTTTATTCTTTTTCTAAAAAAAAAAAAAAAAAAAAAAAGAATTGGGGAAAGAAGAATGAGACCACTTGGATGACGAATTACAGTAAGGTAGGGTAACAGTTGTCATAGTTTAATAGGAGTTAATGTGCTCGACAAAGAGCATTTCCAAGTGAGAAGAGCATATATTTACACATACACACGTTTAACCATTTTGTGGATAGAAAACAAAAACTTTGACTTTGTTACTATTTTGAACTAACTGGAAACAAAAGTCACTTAAGAAAGGTGCCTGGCACCTATGTTCAGGGATTTACCCATATCCCACCACAATAAAGTTTAATTTGAATAAATTTTATTTAATTTTAGACTTAAGAATATCGGTAATATAAAATTATAAAAACCTTATTTGTAAGAAAGAGAAAATAAATTGGCTAGAAAGTTTATTGGCAAATCTAGGTCAAGCTCCATAATTTAAAATTATTTGAAACAAAATTAAAAACATCTATAAAAGGTCAGAACATTCAGTATTTTAAGATAAAATTGTTTTTCAAAAAAAACCCATGGTTATAAAAACAACAATTTGGCAGGTTACACATTTTTAAATTATAGAAAACATTAAAAATAAAATATCTAACAAAATGTCTTGCTGTTGCTTTGGGGGAAAAGGTGGGGACAAATATTTTTTATTTACATATATTTATTAAAAGATTTCCATATGGTATTGCGAACAGTCCCATGTCTCTTATATTTTGCTATCATACATGAATTCACACAAAGGAGTTGGGATACATAAAATTACAAAGGTGGCAGAAAAGCAAACCAGCCCACATCCAAATACACACTAAAAAGGGCATAATTCAGATATATAAGGCATATTAGTTTTAGAAAAAGAGCACTGCCCACCCCCAGTTGTATACACACACACACACACACACACACACACACACACACACAAACTCCACTTTATTAAACCACAAGAGGGAACAAAATATATCATAAGTAACTGATCTTTCATTTTCCTATGTTAGTTTTTACATTTTCAATCACAACAAAATATGTTAAGAGGATTTTTTTCAAATGTCTATGGTTCAAACACGATGAATTTTTGTAGCTGACATTCCATTTTGTACTTCTGTTGTTTCATTAATATAGGTATACGCCTAAATTCTTTAAAATTACAACTTTGAAAATTAATTGTAAGAAGCTGCTTTCCATGTATATGCCACAGTTCAGTGTTAAAATGCCATTCTGGAAAACTGGTAAATTACAACACACAGGTTTAGAAGAAAAAGAGTAGTATCACTGAATATATATTGCAATTTAACAAAATGTTTTACTGTATTTACCCCATGTACTTTTTTTCGAGATGGAGTCTTACTCCGTCCCCCAGGCTGGAATGCAATGGTGCTATCTTAGCTCACCATAACCTCCGCCTCCTGGGTTCAAGTGATTCTCCTGCCTCAGCTTCCTGAGTAGCTGGGATTACAGGTGCCTGCCACCATGCTTGGCTAATTTTTGTATTTTTAGTAAAGAAGGGGTTTCACCATGTTGGCCAGGCTGGTCTCGAACTCCTGACCTCAGGTGATCCACCCGCCTTGGCCTCCCAAACTGCTGGGATTACAGGCGTGAGCCAACATGCCTGGCCTACCCCATATACTTTTATACTTTGAAATCTTAGATTAATAAACTGAGGAATTTTATTTACTAGAAAAATGTCCCAAATTTCTGTTCTATTGCTTTATACAAAACTCTGCATAAAGCTTTTAGTTTGATTTTGATAGAATTTGTGTTCTGTAAACAGCCCATATGATGATAGTTAAAACAATATTTTACATAGTATATAAAGGTATCTTTCTCATCACAGTTCTTTTAGTTGGCAATAACACATTATATATAGTAATCATTATTTTACCAAGACCTCTGCTATTATAAGACTAGACCTGAATACCTTCCCCTTGACGACAGTAAATCTATGAATAATTTTAAGAAGAAAAAGTTAAGCATGACAGCACAGCAATGAAGTTGACAATTCTTTGTGAATACATTAAGATATGGGTTAAACATAGGCATGAAAACTAAAAACAAGTACTGTTAAGAATATTTACATACATACGTCATGGCTTATTAAGAAACAAATTATTAAAGCATGTGAATAATACATTATATCAATTCACAGTATAAACATACTTTGAGTAATTTCATTCAGGAATAATAAAAATATAGATATAACATGAGTTAAGCACTATTAATACATATTCTTGTTCTATCATATATATGAAAATATACATATATAGTTCTTTTAAACCAAACTTTTTAACATAAATATTCACTGATTTAAATACAAGTTGGCAGAGGTAGAATTTGTGTCCATGTTCATGATTTTCAAAAACAAGTACTTCAAATATTTCACTACTGTTCTGTTCTTTTGAAAATCCACATGAGAACTCATTCAAAGCCATTCTGAAAGGGGGAAAATTGAAAAGTAGGTTAAGAGAAAAATCATAAAGTTATTCAACATATTCATAAAAAAGTAAAATTTAATAATGTTTTAAATGAAATTATGGACTCTAATAAAACTCTGTGCCCCAAATCCAGTTATATTTAAGAAGTACTGTTCTACTTCTTAAAGTTCAAATACAGTTTTATTCATTGTACTTTATTTTATTCATTTACTTATTTATTTAGAGACCAGGTCTTGCTGTGTTGCCCAGGCTGGAGTGCAGTGGTGCGATCACAGTTCACTGCAGTCTTGATCTCCTGTGTTCAAGTGATCCTTCTGCTTCTGCCTCCAGAGTAGCGGGGGCTACAGGTGCACATCACCATGCCCAGCTCAGTTTTATGGTATTAAGTAGAGATGAAGTCTTACTATGTTGTTCAGGATAGTCTCAAACTCCTAAGCTCAAGTGATCCTCGCACTGTGGCCTCCCAAAATCCTGGGATTACAGGTGTGAGCTACCCTGCCGGGTTTACACTTTTGTTTAAAAAAGTGATTTTTGCTTCCTTATTAATATATCTCTTTATTTTATGTTTCCTCAGTGAGTCTGTGTGGTATTGCATTATAATAAGACATACAGGTGGAGTACAGTGGCTCATGCCTGTAACTCCAGCACTTTGGGAGGTTGAGGCAGGATCACTTGAACCCAGGAGTTCAGGACCAGTCTGGACAACACAGTAAGACCCATATCTATAAAAAAATGCAAACATTAGCTGGGTGTGGTACACACACCTGTAGTCCCAGGTACTCAGGATGCCAAGGTGGGAGACTGCTTGAGCCTAGAGTTCAAGGCTGCAGTGAGCTCTGATGGTGCACTGCACCACTCCAGTCTGGGCAACAGAGCGACACCTTGTCTCTTAAAACAAAAAACAAAAAACAACAAAACAGAAATATGTTCCATAATGATATTTTGGTTAATGACAGACTGCATAAAAGATTGTGGTCCTGGTCGGGTGCGGTGGCTCAAGCCTGTAATCCTAGCACTTTGGGAGGCCGAGGCGGATGGATCACGAGGTCAAGAGATCGAAACCATCTTGGTCAACATGGTGAAACCCCGTCTCTACTAAAAATACAAAAAATCAGCTGGGCATGGTGGCACGTGCCTGTAATCCCAGCTACTCAGGGGGCTGAGGCAGGAGAATTGCTTGAACCCAGGAGGCAGAGGTTGCGGTGAGCCGAGATCGCGCCATTGCACTCCAGCCTGGGTAACAAGAGCGAAACTCCGTCTCAAAAAAAAAAAAAAAAAAAGATTGTGGTCCCATAAGATTAAAATGAAAATTTCTGTTTAACTATAAAACAGCCTCAGGCAGGTCCTTCAGGAAGTATTCCAGAAGAAGGCACTGTTATCACAGGAGATGACAGCTCCGTAAGGTTACTGCCCCTGAATATCTTTCAGTGGGACACAATGTAGAGACAGGAGACAGTGATATTGATGATCCTGACTCTATGTGGGCTTAGGATATATGCGTCATTGCTTTTAGCAAACAACTTTAAAAAGTAAAACAAAAATTAATTTTATAAATAGAAAAAGGTTTATAGAATAAGAATAAAAAGAAAAAACATTTCTGTACAGCTATGAAATACGTTTGTGTTTTAAGCTAAGTATCATTATGAAAGGGTCAAAAAGTTAAAAAAAGTTTATAAAGGAAAAAAGTTATAGTAAGCTAAGGTTAATTGTTGAAGAAAACTTTAAAAATAAATTTAGTATAGCTAAGTGTACAGCGTTTATAAAGTCTATAGCAGTGAACAGTAATGTCCTAGACCATCACATTCGCTCACCACTCACTCACTTACTCACCCAGAGCAACTTCCAGTCCTGCAAGATCCATTTGTGGTAAGTTCCCTATATAGGAGTATCATTTGTTATCTTTTAAACTGTGTTTTTACTGTACATTTTCTGTGTTTAGATGCACAAATACCATTGTGTTACAAAAGCTTACAGTATTGAGTACAGTAACATGCTGTACAGATTTATAGCCTAGGAGCAAGAGGCTATACCATATAGCCTGGGTATGCAGTAGGCATATACCATCTTTGTATAAGTACATACATTCTATGACATTTGCACAATGATATCACCTAAACAAATTTCTCAGAACATATCCTGTGTTGTTAAGCAATGCATGACTGTATATATTGGGTCTCTGCCCCTGTTTCGTGGCACACAGCTCCTTGTAATCTCCAGAGTGCTAAGTGTGTCTTTTGCAAGTTAATGAGATGACTGGTGGCTGGGGACCCCTAGATAGCTTCAGGATGGGGGCCGGTCATCAGAAAGACCAATGCCTGACTAGAGAATTGGGCTGTTCAATTCCCACACCTCAACCACCAGGGAAAGGAGAGGGGCTGAAGGTTGTGTTGATCACCAATGACTAATAATTTGATTGATCATGCTTACTTGGTGATACCTGCATAAAACCTCCAAAAACTGGATTCGGGAACCTTCCAGACAGCTTAACACTTGGTGATGCTTGGAGGGTGGTGTGCCTTGAGAGGGCACAGAAGCTTTGAGCTGCTTCCCTGACAATCTGCCCTACACATCCCTTCCACTTGCCTGTTAATCTGTATCCTTTGTAATAGCCTTTTCAATAATCAGGTAAATGTAAAATGTTTCCTTGAGTTCTGTGAGCTGCTCTAGCAAATTAATAGAATGTGATGAGGGTGTTGTGGAAACCTCTTCAGTTAGACGCACAAATCACAACCTGAGGCTTGCGATTAGCATCAAGGGGAAGGGATCTGTGTGACTGAACTCTTAATCTGTGGGATCTGACGGTATCTCCAGGCAGATAATGTCAGAATTGAGTTAAATGTTGAAATTGAGATCAATTGGTGTCTGCTGGAGAATCTGGTGTCTGAAGTGGTGCTGAGTGGTGTCTGAGAATAGGAAAAACCCTTCTGGTTTTTCCTGTCTCAAATAGCATGTATTAGATATGATAGTCAAAAAAGAAAGAATAAAAATTGGATTGTATATTTTAACTATCAGAGAAACACTAATTTGAGATGCCATTTTATAGTTGAGCAATTCTTTTTTTTTCCTTGAGCAATTCATTTCTGAGTGCTTAGGGAAATCCCTTAAAATTAGTTTTGGTGACAATATTCAGAATACATGAGTAGAAATAGACTAGTAAATAACAATCTCATTAATATACTTCAAAAATTAATTGTAAATTATTACAAAGTTATAAATTATAAGTTTGTTAATGGTTATAAAACTTTTCTACTCCGCATGGACTAGAATCATTGTAATTTTCAAAAATGGAAAATAACAAGTGTTGGTGAGGATGTGAAGAACGAGAACCCTCATGCATTGCTGGTGAAAATGTAAAATGGTACAGCACGTGGAAAACAGTTTGGCAGTTCCTCAAAAAGTCTGACAGAATTGCCATATGACCTAGCAGTTCTAGTCTTAGGTATATACCGAAAGATTTGAAAATAAGGACTAAAACAGATATTTGCACAACAATGCTTACAGCAGCATTATTCACATAACCATATGGTAGAAACGACCCAGGTGTCTTGATGAAAGGATTTTAAAAATGTGGCATATCCTACAATATGGATGAACCTGGAAAATATTATTCTAAGTGGAATAAGCCAGACATAAAAGAACAAATGATTTCACTTACATGAAAATTGAAAATAGGCAAATTCATAGATATCAGAAAAGTAGATTTGAAGTTACTAGGAGCTGGGAAGGTGAGGCCTGGGGATTAGAGTTATTGTTTAATGGATACAGAATTTCTGTTTGGGGTGATAAAAAAAATCTTAGAATTAGATAGTGGTGATGGGTGTGGTGGTGTGCCCATAGTCCCAGTTTCAGGAGGCTGAGGTGGGAGGATTGCTTGAGCCCAGGAGTTTGAGGTTTCAGTGAGCTATGATCATGCCACATCCTTACAGCCTGGGTGACAGAGTGAGACCCTGGCTCTAAAAAAAAATAAAATGCAATAAGAAACAAAAGCAGTGTCTAATTCATCACAGCTTCAGGGATTGCTGGAATCTACGTTCTGTATCAGCGGTTCTTAAAGTGTCGTCTGGGGTCCCTGGGAGCCCCCAATACTCTTTCAAGGACTCTAGAAGGTCAAGCCTATTTTCATAAAACCAAGGAATTTTTTGCTTTTCACTCTTATTTTCTCACAGGTCTAGAGTTGAGTTTTTCCAGAGCTACAGGATGTGAAGAGACAGGAAGTAAATATTTTAGATTTGTGGGCCACAGGGTCTATTGCAACTACTCAACTCTGCCACTGCAGAAAAGCAGTCTTAGACAATCTGCTAACAAATGGATGTGGCTGTGTGCCAATAAAGCTTAATTTACAGAAATAGGCAGTGGTATGGATTTGGCTTGCAGATCCTAGTTTACCAACCAACCCCTGATCTAAACTGCAGCTGTAAATCAAACATGAGAAAATGCCTGTCACACTCTTCCAAGGCTTTGTAACAAGAAGGTGAACCACCACTTGATCACATTAAAACAAAACAGCAACTGAAGGACACAGTGACTACAGTGAACACTGAGAAGTGGTCCTCAAAGTAAAGGAGAAAAATAAATGCCTTAATCAAACACAAAAGCAAAAGCAGAGCAATCAGGAATCATTTAAACCTAGGCCCTACAAACATGAGGGCATCAGTATGTTAAAGAATAGCACATAACTAATGTTCACAATGGGGATTCTGAGTCAGAGGAAATGTTTAATTATCTTCCATATATTTCTATTAAAAGAAGCAAAGAAATGCATCAATTTAAACAAGACTGGCATAACTATTTCTGTCAATGAGTATGCATTTTTCACAGTTACTACCTGTCAAAGCCTGAGTCTGACTCATGTTTCTTTCCCATTCATTCCCATCTCCAGTGAATTAGCACAACCCTTTGACCCTTCCTCAGTCAAATGCGTCCTAGCTCTTTACAACTACTTTGGAAAACGGTTTTGCCATTATCTACTAGAGCTTGAACATACATATATCCAGAGATCCATCCGTTTCACTTCTTTTTCCCTCATTATTCCCCTACAACCTGCCCTTCCTGCCAGGCTGGGACTACTGTGCCATGTGCACTCCTGTTTCTATGCTTTGTCTACACTTTTACTACCTATTACTTGTAGCTTGAATTTGGCCCTTCATCAAATAATACCCTGTGATAGCTCATACTGTTATTTAACATTATGCTGTAGATGTCTTCTCTTTTTAAATTTGGGTATAATTTACATGCAATAAAATGCATGGACCAGCCTATAGTCCCAGCTACTCAAGAGGCTGAGGTGGGAGGACTGCTTGAGCCCGTGAGTTTGAGGCCAGCCCAGGCAAGATAGTGAGAACCCTGTCTTTTTTTGGGCGGGGGAGATAGGGGCTTGCTTACTCATGCAGACTGGAGTGTAGTGGTGTAATCATAGCTCACTGCAGCCTCAACCTTCTGAGCTCAAGCCATCCTCCTGCCTCCGTGTCTGCCCTATGCCTGGGCCAGTAGCTGATAGCTGGGACTAGAGGTGTGTGCCACCATGCCTGGCTAATTTTTGTATTTCTTGTAGAGATGGGGGTCTCACTATGTTGCCCAGGCTTGTTTCAAACTCCTAGCCTCAGGTGATCCTCCAGCCTTTGCCTCCGAAAGTGCTGGGATAACAGGTGTAGGCCAGTGTGTCTAGCCAAGACCCGATGTCTTAAAAAAAAAAAATGCATACACTGTAAATGGTCAGTTCTATAAATTTTTACAATTGTATATAACCCACAGAAGTACTATCACCAAGATACAGAAGTTTTCCATTACTCCAGGAAGTTCTCCTGAATGTCTTTTCAGGCAATCTTCCATTTCCTGATGTAGAAAACTACTTTCTGAATTTTTACAACCACAGATTAGTTTTGCCTGTCCTTGGTGTTACATACGTACCTTTCTGATAATTACACATTGATATGTTCAGGAGAATGTGAAGGAGACCTCAGAGTAGAACTAAGGGGTGGTGTAGGAAGACCATGTCGACGCATCTCTTGGATTGCTCGTTCTCTATTAGTAAAGATCAAACAAGAGTGATATATGGAAGCATCAGGAAAAATCAAAAAGTGGCATACAAATATAAGAGTATAGCTAATTTGTTATAAATTACTTAATTAGTATTACTATTAAACTTGAATCCTATGTCTTTGTACGATTTTTAAGTAGTGGACAAAAGAGTTCAATTAAAAGAATATGTACTATAAGAGATTGTTCAAAGCAATTATGTTATAACCATGTCAGAATAGCAGGCTGTCATTAAAATAATACACATATATTTATATTTATATACCTATAAATAAAAGTTTATATATATAAATTATATACAATTTATATATACTATATATACACACATAAATTTTGTGTAATATATAAAATTTATATATATATTTATATATATTCACTTATATATATTATATATATTATAGTGAATATAATATATATATTCACTATATATAAATATATATATTCACTATATAAATATATATATTCACTATATATTTATAATTTATATATATTCACTATATATAATATATAGTGAATATACATATTATATATAAAATATTTATATATATTATATTTATAAAATATATATATAATATATATATATTTATTTATATATATAGTGAAAATAAATAGGATACCAACTGAACACATAGAGAGACACACACAAACACGAGATGGCGAGATGTTAAACTCAAAAAGGCTAATGGTGACTATGGAGGGTAGAGCTTACAGATGAATTTAATTTTCTTCTCTATCCTTAAAAAAATTTCAACAAACCTGTTTAATTAAATGCCTACATGCTAGACCTTTCTATGGTACTTGGTGCTAATAACCACCCTTGGTTTTCGTGGCACTGTATCTCCTGGTTCTCTTTCTACCTAGATGGCCTCTCCTTAGTTCTGTTACTGGATTCTTTTCTCTTGCCTATACTTTGATGTTCCCCACAGCTAGGTTTACTTGTTCTTCTCCTATGCTTTTTTTTTTTTTTAAATAGGGGCTTGCTCTGTTGCCCAGGCTCAAGTGCAGTGGCACAATCATAGCTCAAACTCCTGGCCTCAAGCGATCCTCCCACCTTATCCTCCTGAGGAGCTGGGACTACAGGTGCACACCTTCATGCCCAGCTAATTTTAAAAATATTTTAGAGATAGGAGTCACACTATGTTGCCCAGGCTGGTCTTGAACTCCTGGCCTCAAGTGATCCTACTGCCTCAGACTCCCAAAGTGCTGGGATTACAGGTATGAACCACCATGCCAGGCCTACCATATCATCTTGCACATATATCTTGCCCTCTCCCATCTTTCTGCCTCAAAAGTCAGATTGGAAATAATCTATTTTCTCTTTCATGCTTTCCTTCCCTGTGTCTGGGTCTGTCCCCACCCAGAATGGGGATTATGTTGCCATATCCTTTGTGGGCTATTCAGAGTCTCTGGCCTAGACTCTTTCTGCCTTGAGTTATTCAGTATCTGGGATTTCTAATTAGTTCAATGCTTTTCAAGATTTGTTTATTATTACTCTCTCATAGACTTTTTCCTCCCCAGATTATCCCTCCACCCCGTGAAATTTTAATACACTCCTTATGTCCTGTGGCCCTTTGGAGGGACATAAACTATTCTACTAACTTATACTACCAAAAATTTTTTGCCACCTCTATCCCCTATCCCCAAGAAATAATTTTTTTCCTTGGAGGATGGGGGGTGATACTGCACCATTGAGAATGCATGGTGTAGTTGGATGGTAAGGTGCAGGAAAGATATGGTCATGAGGCTCAAGGTTTCATTGGGGGCTAGGGGCAAGGAAGAAGGGGAGGAATTGTGGAGAGGTCTATAACCCTAGGCAATAGCTTGATTTAGGACCTTTTGATTTGCAGAGATTTTAAGTTATCATTAAGAAATACAAATCATTATATATGTACAGTTTAGCACTAGAAAACTAAATCTTCTCAATTATAAGAAATTAACAATCCTGCTTCACGTCACTGCTGCTACCTAAGACTTACTTTTCTATTTGTTTGGTTTTTGAGACAGGGTCTCACTGTTACCCAGGATGTAGGGCAGTGGCACGAGCACAGCTCATTGCAGCCTCGACCTCCTGAGCTCAATCAATCCTTCCACCTCAGCCTCCTGAGTAGCTGAGACTACAGGCACCCATCACCATGCCCCAGAGTATTTTCAAAATATTTTTGTAGAGATGGTGTTTCGCCATGTTGCTCACACTGATTTCAAACTCATGGGCTCAAATAAATCCACCTGCCTTGACCTCCCAAAGTGCTGGGATTGCAGGCACGAGCCAACACACCAGGCCTTTTTTTGAAATCATATTTATTTATTTCATAGCAAATTGTCTCTATACTTCAAACAGCACATCACTAAAAAGTTTTGATGTAAATAGGTAAGAATAACTCAAAAACTGATCTAACATGCAATTTGACCACTATTTGAGAATGAAATCTCAGGAATGCAGATGTCTATGGTATTAATACAGTAGGAAAGAGTAATGGAAAACAAGTAACTTGGCAACTGATTTGCAAGTTAGACTTCGGTTTTAATTCTTAAACCAGGTCTCATTCCGGGTTTGTAATGCTTGGGGATTAAATTTTTCAACATAAAGCAAATGAACCAAAATATGAGTGAATATGAAAATTACTAAGCTGTAGGGAATATACTAGAGAGGTTATGGGTACAGGTTTTAGAATTAAAACCTGTTTGGTTTTACTCTTGGTCCTACCATTTACTATTTATGTGATCTCAGTTTCCTATAACGTAGGTATAGTAACAGATTTGCTGGTAGGATTATTCAGACACTTACGTAGTGTCTGGCCCACATTTGCCAACTGCTGCTTCTGCCTTCAATAGCGTTACCTCTACGACGATTTGTATTTGGAGCATCCTACTTGAACCATACATTCTGGAGCCCGTGTAGGGGTTGTTGCTCCTTCTCTATATTCTTTGAAATAATTTTGGGCTCTAAATATTTATACAATACTTGCTACTTTATTTTTCAGATTATTAAACAATTTTATTCAATAAATATTTATAAAGCATCCACTATGTAATACTTGCTATTTTAGTTACTGCAGGGATGTTACCTTCTGCAATACTTGTTGACTTTTTTAAAAGGAAGAATTACCAAAGAAATGTACTTTATGTATCAGCTTTTAAAAAAGTTTGCTTTTTGCAAGCCATATTAAATACTTCTTGAAGTATGATAGAGAACACATAAAAACACTGTCAAATGTAAACAAAATTTGTCTTACCGTTCGTATCTCTCAGTTGAGATCTGTCTTTTCTGAGCATCATAATCTGTTTGTAACTGTGCCACTTTAGCTCGAAGCATGGTGTTTTCCCGGCTTTGACTAGTCCTTAAAAATAAATTTTAAAAAGTCAAGAAATAAATATTCTGTTTTGTAGAGTCAAGTGCTGTGGGTTTTCTAAATTAATGAAGAGAAGATCAAGACCTTTCAACAAGAATTCTCTAAACTTCTAGAGCTTCTATCACATTTTCTTTTTCATTCATTTAGTTTATGAAAGATTTACTGAACTTCTATTACGTGCTAAGCACTAAAGCAGTGCTAAGGACACAAATTTGAATGAGAAATAAACTGTAACACCAAGATATAAAGTGTCTTCATTGGCTCTTTCTTGACTCTTGCCTTGGAAAGAGAAATATTAATATTTTTAGTACCTTTCAAAAACTCATTCTTCCATGTGTACTCTACCCTGGGTTTCCTTTTCTCTTCCTATAAATATGTCTAAATCTTTAAAAACTCATTCTTCCATGTGTACTCTAACCTGGGTTTCCTTTTCTCTCCTATAAATATGTCTAAATCTCTAAAAACTCATTCTTCCATGTGTACTCTAACCTGGGTTTCTTTTTCTCTTCCTATAAATATGTCTAAATCTTTCTATTCTAAAGATATGATATCATCAATCTCTCCCAAAGTAATCAATGCACATATGTGGGTCAAATCTCACAGCCTTTTTAGGCTGCTGCTGACATCTCTGCCTACTACATCAGCACCTTCAACTTCGACCATGCCCTGGTGCCTGAGGATGGTATCGGCAGCGTCATCGAGGTCCTCCAGTGGCGGCAGGAAGGCCTGGCTTCCTGAGACTGGTAGGGAACAGAGCAGCCTCCCTGTTCTTCCCTCGATCCAAGCTTCCAAAGACTCCTCTAAACTATTTCCTTAAGCTCTGGAATGAGCCCCCATTCCTGCCGGGGGACCCTCGCTCTGCTCTGTATGTAAGCTGTGTGCAGGCACCGGCCCTTCTGTGGACACCTGTATGTACTTGCTGGAGGAGTAGGCAGCTGCTCGCCTGATTAGGTGTGCCAGGCAGGGGAACATGGTGCTCGGGGCTTAAGCCCCCAACCCATCACTCCCTGCACAGCCTCAGGGTTTGCACAGTCCCTGCCTGAGGCCCGAGCTATTCCCCACAGCCTTCCTGGGCCAGCTGTCCCCCCGGACAGGGCCCTGACCTCCATTCTGCCTCTGGTGGTGTCGCCTTCCCTGGGCCAGGTGAGTCCTGACAGTGCCTCTCCCTCCTGAGGCCTCCAAGAAAAGTATTTTGACATCTCTCTCTCTTCTGTTTTTATTGCCTTGTTAATAAAGGACTTTGTAGTGAAAAAAAAATAGTTTATGTTCCTAATTTACAGCAGAAGACACAGCCACCTCTTCTCCTGAGAACACGCCCTCCTTCACTGACTCCTCTGTTCATTCCTCAAATGTAGGCGCTTTCCTAACGTTTCTCTTCCCATTCACTCCCACGGTACCACCTCTGCAGTGAAGATACACAGGTCTGCACATCCCAACACAGTGTTTCTCTAGAGCCAGTCTCCTGAATTTCCAAAAGCAGCAGACATAGAAGCCAAACATTGGGGATTCACTCAGGGTGGTGGGAAAAATATTAGGGGAAAAATATTAGAGAAAGTTACTGAATATGGTTTCAAACCATTTTGGAAGGCCTAAGGGTTTTTTCTATGGTTGTTGGCTGAAGGCAGCCTTGTCCCTTAGTTAAATAAATTAGAGTAGAAACAAAGGAATGTGGGGGTTTACCTAACTTGTTTATTCATTAACCTCTGATCATTCTGGATAACTCTCTCAGGGGAAGGTTGATCAAGGAATATCACCCACTAATGGTGTTTGCTTTGGGCATTGGAACCTGTCCTTTAATCTTCTCTCTAGTGGTGTTGACTCAGAATTTTTGTCACTTAACGTGTGCTAAATAACGGCCAGAGAGGCCAGCGTGTCGAGGCCAGTGGTCACAACTATTTACAGCACTCTCCAGGGTGCCCATAAGCTGCCAGGACACACTCAGCTGAACTGGCAAAGCATAATATCTGTGTTTCAGTGTACTTTAGTTATCTATCATTGAGTCAGGGTCTGCAGGACAGACCCCAACAGGTGGTGACCCCGCCACAAATATTTTGGTTTTGTACTACCCTTCATATTCCTTTTGTTTGTTTGTTTGAGACAAAGTCTTGCTCTGTCACCCAGGCTGGAGTGCGGTGGTGTGATCTCAGCCCACCGAAACCTCCATCTTCCAGTTAAAGCAATTCTAGCACCTCAGCCTCCCGAGTAGCTGGGACTACAGGTGTGAGCTACCACGCCTGGCTATTTTTTTTGTATTTTTAGTAAGATGAGGTTTTACCATGTTGCCCAGGCTGGTCTTGACTCTTGAGCTCAGGCAATCCACCCACCTTGGCCTCCCACAAAGTGCTGGGATTACAGCCATGAGCCACTGCGCCTGGCCTACTCTTCATGTTCTTAACCTTTCTTCCACTTAAAAAAAACTTAAAATCTGTCCTTCACAAGCAATTTTCTTAGCATAAGTTGACATAAGACACTTACAATTTGCTTTCAGAAAGGGTTAATTTCTCTTTAAGTAGCTGGATTTCTGTATCCTTCTCATGGGAGGTTAAGTGAGAATGAAATTCTTTATCTCTGTTTGTAGCCAACAATGATTCAAGATTTTTAACTGTATGTCTCTCATTTGACAGTTGTTTTTTCAACAGGTCTGACTCTGACTTTACATTTTCTAATTCCACCATAACCTATATGAAAAACAAAGTAAGATTACTTCAGTACAATTTTAAATTTACTCTGAAAAAATTATCTGACAATATAGCTCCGTGGAACTATTCATCCATCACTTGTTTCATTTTGGGTATTGGTTAAAAATTATGAACCATTTCTTTAAGTATGAGAAAAATACTTAATTTGCAAAATAAACTTTGCTATATTTACTATGTGCTTATTTGGCTATCAAATCTACTCCAACCCTCAAATAGTTTTCAGTCATGCTGCCTTGTCAAGAGAAGGTCATTAACATAAAATCATTAAGGGCAATGAGACCCTTCTTGTTGAATATGCTTACTCTGATTACATAATAAAGCCAGTATTGTAGCTTCTCAGTACCTGAAAATAAAGATACTACTAGATGAGTGAAAACTGAAAACATCCATGTTAGAAAACATACACCTGGTTATTTAAAGTAATGCCTCCATTTGGGAATGGCAAATTCTAGCTAAATAGACTTAATTAAGTAAGATTTAAATACCTTAAGATCTTTTATCGAGAAAAATATTCTACTTTGGAAGCACTGAACTCTTCAATCCTTCATTCAAGTCTTACTTTTTTCTTTTTTGACACCAGGTCTTACTCTTTTGCCCAAGCTGGAGTGCAGTCACATAATCTCTGCTCACTGTAGCCTCAACACCCTAGGCTCAAGTCAACCTTGCCTGCCTCAGCCTCCCAAGTAGCTGGGACTAAAGGCACACACCACATGCCCGACTAATTCTTTGTATTTTTTGTAGAGACAGGGTTTCACCATGCTACCCAAGCTGGTTTTGAACTCCTGAACAATCTGCCTGCTCAGCTTCTCAGTGTTTAGATCACAGGCATAAGCCATCATGCCTGGCCTCAAGTCTTACTTTTAAACAAAGAAAGAATGTATTAGGATATGTTCCTAACCTATAATCAGAAAACTAATAATCTCCTAGATAGTCATCTATTCCAAAACAGAACTCACTTTCATCACTACGTTTGCCAGAGAAATCTTGGCAAAAAATGAAGTAGTCAAATCTGGCTGTCAAAATCCTGTAGTCAAAAGTTACTACTTTAGGCCAGGCGCAGTGGCTCATGCCTGTAATCCAAGAACTTTGGGAGGCCGAGGTAGGCATATCACCTAAGGTCGGAAGTTCAAGACCAGTCTGGCCAACAGGGTGAAACCCTGTCTCTACTAAAAAATACAAAAATTAGCCAGGTGTGTTAACAGGTGCCTGTAATCCCAGCTACTTGGGATGCTGAGGCAGGGAAATCACTTGAACCCAGGAGGTGGAGGTTGTGGTGAGTCGAGATCACGCCATTGCACTCCAGCCTGGGCGACAAAGCAAAACTCCATCTCAAAAAAAAAAAAAGTAACTACTCCAAAAGGAAACAAATATATGTACGGCATGGTAAATGGTAAAGTAAAACAATTAGAGTAGGGCTTAATAAAACAATGTGCCAAGACAATTTCTCTTTCTTACCCTCTCAAACTCAAGGTTTTTGGAATTCAGTTGCTGGGTCATAATATCTTTGCCTGAATCAAGTTTAATGCAAAGTTCTCTAAGAGATGACAAGTCATTTAATACTGTCACTTTCTCCTCTTCTTGACGTCTCAGCTCTTCTTCTAATCGAGACATGGCTTTTGCCATTGATGAGATCTGAGATTCATAAGCATGATGGGCATTTATGTGCTGAAAAATAAAAAGAAACAAGTAAAAAGTTAAAATAACCCAATAAATTTAAGAACTTGAGATTGCAGACAACAACCCCACTTTAGAAAAATATGACAGCCAATTTTTGCTTATTTTAAACTAGTCTCAGGAAGCTGCCTACTATTTAAAGATGATCTATTTAATGCTTTACAAAAGGAATTGTGTGTAATTATTAATCTTGATAACTAAGTACCTCATGTATATATTTATATATTTGGAAGATGTAAAAAAGAAAATTATTGTCAGGGTGTTGTGAATATGAAAGATTTTTGAAGTTGCATTAAACTTTTCCTTTATAAAGTATCTTTGTTACAACAATGCTGTTTCAAGAAAAAGTAACATATATACATATCACTCCCCAACTGTCTTTAGTTAAATCCTAAATTCCAAAAATGGGGTTTACTTCAAAACTAAATACCTGAAGTCATTTAAATTTAACTTAAATAAATATTATATAACTTTTTAATATTTTAGTAATCAAAATTTAAAAATTTTCAAATACTGATAAAGATTTTTTTTCTAGAATAATCCACATTTGAAATTTCTCACAATTTGAATTATGAGTGATAAATACAAACTGATATAAACTCTACTTCGAGGTTTGGGGAAGAATTCTGCATTTGAAAAATAAAATTATTTCAACAGGCTATTACAACGGCTAGGGCAGTGGCTCACGTCTGCAACCCCAACACTCTGGGAGGCTGAGGGTGGGAGGCTCACTTGAGCCCAGGAGTCTGAGACCAGCTTGGGCAACATAGTGAGAACCTGTCTCTACAAAAGAATACAAAAATTAGCTTGGCATGCTGGCACAGCATATAGTCCTTGCTACTTGGGAGGCTGAGGCAGATCACCTGAGCCCAGGAGTTCAAGGCTGCAGTGAGCTATGGTCAAGCCACTCCACCCCAGTCTGGGGCGATATACAAGAGCCTGTTTCTTTAAAAAAAAAAAAAAAAAAAGTCCAGGATCCACATTGAAAATCTAACATTGTGCTGTGAAGATTTAATCAATTTCAACAATTGCATAAAAGTATTTAGCTTTTTAGTGCATTAATAAAAGCTCCCCTAAACAAATATAATACTTTAGTATTGTATTGTGAAATTGGTTTATACTTAGTAAAAGCAAATTTATACTTTAGTAAAAACCAATTTCATATACTACATAAGAACAGGAACAATAATAAAGAACAAAATAAAGATTAGTTGAGAACAGTTTCTGAAAAACTCTTTTGAAGGTTGAAAGCACTCCTTTAATTAGATATTATACTCCTCTTAACAGAAAAACTTTTAGAGATAGAGTATGAGTTCCCCAGGGCTGCCATAACAAACTACCACAAATGGGGGTGTTAATAAAAAAAAAAAAAAACAGAAATTTATCCCTTCACAGTTCTGGAGGCTGGAAGTCCAAAATGTGGGTGTTAGCAGAATCGGCTCCTTCTAGAGCTTCTGTGGGAGAATATGTCCCATGCCTCTCTCCTAGCTTCTGGTAGATGCTGCCAGTCCTTGGTGTTCACTGACTTGTAGACATATCACTCCAATCTCTGCCTCTATCTTCACACAGCCTTCTCTGTACATAATGTATCTAAATTTCCCTCAACTTCGAAGGACTTTGTAATCCATCACTAACTGGGTTAGGGCCTGCCTTAATCCAGCACAACCTCATCTTAACTTGTTCACATTTGCAAAAACTCTGTTTCCAAATAAGGTCATGTTGACAAATACTAGGGGTTAGGATTTCAACATGTCTTTCTGGTGGACACAATTCTACCTTCCCTCTGATCCTCCAAAATTCACCTCCTTCTCATACACAAAATATATTCACTCCATCCCAACATTCTAGCATCAACTCTAAACCTAAAATCTCATCTAAGCATCATCTGAACCACATATGGGTGACACTCTGAATATGGACCACACGAGGATTAATTCTCCTCCATCTACAGACCTATGACACTGGAAAACAAGTAAACTTCTTCCAAAATAAAATGGTGGGATAGGCATAAAACAGACAGTCCCACTGCAAAAGGGAGAAAATAGAAGGAATAAAGGAGTTACTAGTCCAAAGTAAGTCTGCAGCCAAGGAGGCCGAATCCATTAGATTTCAAAACCCAAGAATAGTCATTTGTGCCTTGATTCTCTGGTGCTCTGATGCTCTGTCCTCTGAGCTGGCCAGGGTGGTCCCATCCTCTAGTCCCACAGGGGCAGTGGCCTTGCCCTCTGAAACCAAGGAGACCAACAGTAGCTCCATCTTCTGGACCTGTGGTGTCTGGGCTTGTGGTGGTAGCTACAGCCCCACGAGCCTCTGAGCTGCCTGTGGTGGCCTTTCAGGTCTCTGAGCTACCATTAGAGTCATTTTGTCCTTTCTTGAAAGTGAACTTGCAGCCAATTAGCTCTGTTGGTCTGTTTTCTGTTAGCAGGATCCCAGAAGTCCAACAGCCTTCCTTCATTTCATCCCATTTCTGTTTCTTTCAATCAAAGCTGGCAGTGATTCTGCTGGGATGACTAACTGGATTCATGACTCACATATCTAATCTCTTCACCAAAAGGTTTTCTTGCCACACCCCAGAGCACACTATCTGGATAGGCTAAGAATTTTCCAAAATCATCAAGTCCTAGTTTCTCTCTCTCTTTCTTTTTTGACAGGGTCTTACTTTGTTACCCAGGCTGGAGTGCAGTGGTGCGATCTCAACTCACTGCAGCCTTGACCTCGGGCTTACACCATCCTCCCAACTCAGCCCTCCAAGGAGCTGGGACTACAAGCACCTGCTACCACATTCAGCTAATTTTTTTGTAGAGATGGGGTTGTGCCATGTTGCCCAGGCTGGTCTAGGACTCCTGAGCGTAGTTTTTTGGTGGACACAGTTGGACTGCTTGAGTGATCTGCCTGCCTCAACCTCCCGAAATGTTAGGATTACAGGTGCTAGCCACCACGCCTGGCTTCAAGTCTTGTTTTTTTTTTTTTTTTTTTCACTTTTCAGTTCCTTCCTCCATTTCTCTCTTTCCTCTCACATTTTACTATAAATAACAGGGAGAAACCAGGCTGTCTCTTCCGCACTTTGCTTGGAAATCTTCTCAGCTAAATGTCCAGGTTCATCCCTTGCAAGTTCTACTTCTCTAGCAACAGTAGACCATAACTTAGCCAAGTTCTCTGTCACTTTATAACAAGTAACATCTTTTCTCCAGTGTCCGCTAACATTTTTCTCAACTCCGTCTGAGACATCACCAGAGGAAACATTTGTTATCCACAAAATCCATTCATGACAATATATGTATTCTGTAAATTACAGAAGTTTTCTTTACAGCTCTCCCCTCTTCTGAGTCTTCATCACAATTGCCTTTAATGTCCATATTTCTACCAATGATCTTTTCAAGGCAATCTGGGCCTTTTCTGTCAAGAAACTTCAAAACTCTTTCAGTCTCTACTCATCATCTAATTTTCCAAAGCCACTTTCATTATTTTTAGGTGTTTGTTACAACAGCAACCCATTTTCTGATGCTATAATCTGTATTAGTTTCCTAGGGCTGCTGTAACAAATTGCCACAAATTGTGTGGCTTAAAAAAAATAGAAATTATTCTCTCATAATTCTGGAGGCTAGAAGTCCCAAATTCGGGTGTTGGCAGGTTTGGTTCCTTCTGGAGATTCTGAAGCAGAATCTGTTCTTTGCTTTTCTCCTGGTTCCTGATGGTTACTGGCAGTCCTTGACACTCCTTGACTTCTACACGGATCACTCTAATCTTTGCTTCCATCTTCACATGGTGTTCTCTCCAGGGTTTTTTGTGCCCACATATCCATTGTCCTATAAAGATATCAGTCCATTGGTTTTAGGGTCTAACCCTAATCCACTATGACCTCATTTTAACTTGATTCCATCTGCAAAGACATTTTTTTCCAACTAAGAGACTGGGGGTTAGTACTTCAACATGTCTTTTTGGAGGCCATAATTCTATCTGCTACAGATAGTCAATACTTTCTCCTGAAAAATAGAGATTATAAAACTATACAAACAAAACAAAACAAAAATGACAATAATGGCCAACTACTGCATATCAATTTAACTCAGGGTCCCTACATTTTAACTGAACTTGAATTTTTTATTATGAGATTTTTATCAGACTGTCTTTATGACAAAAGCTTATTTGTAAAAATTAACTCAAAATGGATCAAAGACCTGAATATATAAGCTAAAATTATAAAACTCTTAGAAGAAAACAGAGGGGAAAAGCTTTATGACATTGGAGTTAGCAGTGATTTCTTGGATATGACACCACAAGTATAGGCATCAAAAGAAAAACAATAAATTGGACTTCATTTAAATTAAAAACTTCTGTACATCAAAAACTGTTGAAAAGGCAACCCACACAATGGGAGAAAATATTTGCAAATCACATATACACTAAGGTATTAATACCTAGAATATATAAAGAACTTCTACAACAATTTAAAACATTCTGAATAAAAATGAACAAAGGATTTGAATAAGCATTTCTCCAAAGAAAATACACAAATCATCAATAAATAAACGAAAAGATGTTCTACATCACCAACTGTTAAGGAAATGCAAATCAGAACCACCATGAGATACTGCTCCACTATTACAATGGCTCTTATAAAATAAAAAAATTAAAAAATTACAAGTTTGGGCAAGGATGTGGAGCAACTGGAACCCTCGTGCATTGCTGGTAGAAATGTAAAATGGTATAGCACCTATGGAAAAACCACATGGTTATTCCTCAAAAAATTAAACATAGAATTATCATATGATCCAGTAATTCCACTTCTGGGTATATATCCAAAAGACCTGAAAGCAAGCACCTAGACAGATATTTGTATACCCATGTTCACAGTGGCATTATTCACAACAGCCAAAAGGTGGAAACAAATCAAATGTCCACTGACAGATGAATGGCGAAACAAAAATGTGGTACATACATGCATACTAGGAAATGTTACTGAGCCTTAACAAAGAATAAAATTCTGACACATGCTATACAACATGGATGAACCTTGAGGTAAAGTAAACCATAAGGTTAAGTGAAATCAGTCAGTCACAAAAGGACAAATATTGTGTGATTTCACTTATATGAGGTACCTAGAGTAACCAAATTCATAGACACAGAAAACAGGGTGACAAATAATGGTGAGAGTTGCATAACATTGTGAGTGTACTAATGCCACAGAACTGTCTACTTAAAAATAGTTAAAATGGGAAATTTGATACATGTATCTTTTACTACAAAAAAAAGTAATGGGGCTCCTATGCAAATTATGAGAATGATAGAACTTTACCACAACTTGATTTTATCAATGCTTACAACTTCAGGTCGATAAAGTATCTTTGAGACCAGGCATGGTGGCTCATGCCTGTAATCCCAGCACTTTTGGAGGCTGAGGCAGGTGGATCACTCAAGGTCAGGAGTTTGAGATCAGCCTGGCCAATGTGGCTGTCTCTACTAAAAATACAAAAAATTAGCCAGGCGTCGTGGCCCATTGCCTGTAATCCTAGCTACTCAAGAGGCTGAGACAGCTGGGCACGGTGGCTCACGTCTGTAATCCCAGCACTTTGGGAAGCTGAGGCAGGTGGATCACGAGGTCAAGAGATCGAGACCATCCTGGTCAACAAAGTGAAACCCCGTCTCTACTAAAAATACAAAAAATTAGCTGGGCATGGTGGCACGTGCCTGTAATCCCAGCTACTCAGGAGGCTGAGGCAGGAGAATTGCCTGAACCCCGGAGGCAGAGGTTGCAGTGAGCCGAGATCGCGCCATTGCACTCCAGCCTGGGTAACGAGAGCTAAACTCCGTCTCAAAAAAAAAAAAGAGGCTGAGACAGGAGAATTGCTTGAATCCAGGAGGCGGAGGTTGCAGTGAGATCGTGCCATTGCACTCTAGTCTGAGGTGACAGGGCAACACTTTGTCTCAAAAAAAAAAAAAAAAGTATCTTTGTTGTTTTCTGTTTCACTAAACAACATCTTTACAAAAAAAATAAATGTATTACCTCTTGAATTTCTTTTTCTAACAGCTCCACTCTTTCTCGAAGATGTCTCCTCTCAGTGTCAATAGAAAGAAGTTCCAGTCGAACTGAGCTGCTTTCTCCCTCAGCTTGATGGGCTTTGACCTCCCAGTCTTCAGCACGGTTATGAACCATCTGAAATCTGTCTAACAAATCTTGATTTTCTTTTTCCTGGTTAAACCATAATAAAATTGTTTCTAAATTAGTAACTGTCACTTACTGGAACACCCATGTCGTAAACACATACACACACTGAGCATTCTGTCCTAATTTAGGAAGCATTAGATATCTGAGCAGGCACCACACTAAGATCTATGGGGGAAATAGAAAAACGCAATAGGCAGGATCTCTACTTTAAAATGTTTAATATCTAATTAGAGAGATAGAATAAATAAACATGAAAAAGTTAAAAAAACCCTCAGTTTTAAATCCAACCTAAATAATGTTTTTCACCTTAGCAGCCATTAAGCTCTCCCATCGTGACACCTCTGTTATGTATTTATGAACTCTGCTCTTCATTTCTTCTTTTTCTTGCACTGCTGCTTCCAATTCCAGTGAGATTTCCTACAAATCAGAAAATTAAAGACAATCTAAAATGAACACCACACCAAATGAATTTTATTTATACTCAAGTAATTCCTTTGAAATTGGGGAATAAGATAGAGTAGGAAAAAAGAAAAGCTGTTCCTAAGCGTTATTTTCACATATTTTTCCTAGCTGCTCTTGACTTTTAAAAATTTTCCAGACAGTCTTATTATGCCACCCAGGCTGGAGTGCAATGGCATGATCACAGCTCACTGCAGCTTCGACCTTCTGGACTCAAGAAATCCTTCCACCTCAGCCCACTGAGAAGCTGAGACCACAGGCACATGTCATCATGCTCAGCTACTTTTTTTTTTTTTTAAGTTTTTTCTGAGATGAGGTGTCACTATGATGGTCAGGCTGTTCTCGAACTCCTGGGCTCAAGCAATCCTCCTGCTTTGGTCTCCAAAAGTGCTGGAGCTACCACGCCTGGTCTGATCTTGACTTTTTAACCAAACTTTATCACACATTTCCCATAATATATCATATATACCTGGCATTTACACTAAGGGCTAGCTGTAGTCAGGGGATGACAATAAAAAACCTTCATATTTCAGCAATATGCTTCATGCTGAATAATACTGAAAATTATTTTTATAGAACAAAATATTTAAAACAGGAAAATCACTGGTTTTCTCAGTATAATCTTTTAAGAAAATAGCACAAACAGAACTAATACCTTTCAGTATCTGCCATTTTAAAACACTTATTCATTTATCTACAGGTGTATTTGAGAGCCGATAGAAGACAAATAATTAAAACCTATCCCAAGTCTTCAAAACACAGAAACCTTGCTCTGAGAGTGACACTGATGTCCTCACCTAGTAAGGTGACAATGATTTCTGCCATAAAGAATTTCATGCTCCCAGCTTTAGGTTTCCTTGCAACAAAGAACAAAACTGTGAAAAGACCAGTTGCATCCGTTAGACACCTTGTGATATTTAGCAGCATTCTAAGCTACTTTTTTTTAGATGTCGCCTCACTCTGTTGCCCAGGCTGGAGTGTAGCAGTGCAATCTTGGCTCACTACAACCTCTGCCTCCCAGGTGCAGGTGATTCTGCAGCCTCAGCCTTTCAAGCAGCTGAGACTGCAGGCACATGCCACCATGCCCAGCTAATTTTGCATTTTTAGTAGAGATGGGGTTTCACCGTGTTGGCCAGGCTGGACTCGAACTCCTGACCTCAAATGATCCACTTACTTCAGCCTCCCAAAGTGCTAAGATTACAGGTGTGAGCTACCGCGCCTGACCTAAGCTACATTTTTTAATACCCTGATAAACACCATTGTCCTTAATGAATTACCTATGTCACTTATATTTATATCATTAAATTTTAGAAAAAATGTTTAGAGTTTTAATATTTAGCAAACTGACTAAATAGTATAAAACTACCAAAATTTATGCATTATGTTCGTACTTGGTTTTCTCTTGCCATTGTAACCAGATCATCCTGCAATCTTCTGTTTTCCTTAAAAGCGATTTCTCTAGATCTTCCTACTTCATCAAGTTCTTTGTGAGATGCATCAAGCTGGCGCCGGAGACTGTTTATCTCACGATCTCGATTAGTCAATGTTTCCTTTAGCTGGCTGTTCAATGAGTGATGTGGAAATAATGAGGAAAATTTTTAAAAACTAGTTCATTTAAAAGAAAACTGTTACAGTCTAAGTATACTTAGAATACAAATATACTGTGATTATAAGAAATTGTAACTGCTGCATTAAGATACCTGTTAATTAGGTAGAACAGATATTTTAGAGGTCTACCAATAATTAATTATACGCAAATAAAGTAAAAAAATATATATATTATTCCAACAATCAAGTCAATACAGAAAACTGTCAAGTGTTAAAAGTTTAACAGCTTGAGCCCAGGAGTTTGAGACCAGTCTGGGCAATATAGGGAGACCCTGTTTCTACAGAAACATTTTTTAAAATTAGCTGAGTGTGGTGGCACACACCTGTAGTCTCAGCTCCTCAGAAAGCTGTGGTGGGAGGATCACCTAAGCCTGGGGAGGCTGAGGTTGCCATGAGCCAAGATCGTATCACTACACTACAGCCTAGGCAACAGAATGAGATCTTGTCTCAAAAACAAACAAACAGTAAAGCATAGATTCAATTGGCAAATATTTATTAAATGTTTATATCACCACTATTATATAAAATCTTAAGGGTATGTAAAATAAATATAACAAGTGACTTTTTTCTTGAAGTGGCTTATAATCTGTCTAGAGAGACTAGACATAAAAGGTAAACTTTTATGACAGTGCTCAAGATAGGTTTAGAAGGAGAATAAATTCAAGATTGACTATTAAAGTAACTCAAGTTTTACTGATTAGGCTCCAAGTAGGGTAATTATAGTAAAAATAAGGAACAAGTAGGTATGTAGAAGTGTAGTTAATAAGATATAACTGTTTAGATGTGGATGACAGAAAATGAGAGGTTAAAGAGGGTAACATATTTTCAAGCTGGAGACTGAGAAAATGATGCTGCCATTGGCAAAAATGGAAAAATTGAAAGGGAAATTCTCCTATTGCTGAACTGCTACTGAACAGATAAAGCTGTATTCACTGAAAATCTCTTAAAAAGCAGGATGTAATTTCATTAATGACTTACTTCATAGATGATTCACACTCTGAGACCATTATCTTCATATGAGCAACAGCTTTTTCCTACAGAAATTATAAAAATGTGTCAGATTTTAAACCAAAATGTCTTTAACTAAATTTATATAACTTGCCATATTCACAGAGTTCAAATATGCAGCTCAATTATATAAAGTATTCCTAAAACAAAGCTCCAAGGAAACATCTCCATGTCCCAGTCGTACTTGACATATTGGCATGTTTTGTCTACCCTTGAATAGTTTTCTTGAGTTTGCTTTAATGAGTTCTGATAAAATCACTTTCTTTTTTTTTGAGACAGAGTCTCACTCTGTCACCAGGCACTAGGCTGAAGTGCAGTGGCACAATCTCGGCTCACTGCAACCTCCACCTCCTGGGTTCAAGCAATTCTCTTGCCTCAGTCTCCCAAGTAGCTGGGACTACAGGCGCACGCCGCCATGCCCAGCTAATTTTTTGTATTTTTAGTAGAGACGGGGTTTCACCATGTTGGCCAGGATGGTCTCGATATCTTGACCTTGCGATCTGCCCACCTCGACCTCCCAAAGTGCTGGGATTACAGGCTTGAGCCACCGCGCCCGGCCCAAAATCACTTTCTAGAAATAGATAAAATCACATTTTGAAGAGTAATATTATTTGAAAAAAATGACATTTAAGCATGTTAGAAAACATGGCCCTGGGTCTTAGAAACTTGTACATGGGCAATAATAATTGCATAGTTGGGAAACTTCTGGTTCTAAAATGGTGGTGTAGTCGCAAGCTGACCTCAGTCCTCACAAAGTAAACACAAAATAAATATACAATGCTAACACTATCATCAGCACTATCCCAGGACTCAAATACAAGGATGAGTCAGTTCCTGGGCCACAGAGAAGTAAAAAACCTCTGAGCAGATGGTAAAAGAATCAAATTTTCACATCTGTGACACCTCTTCCTTTAATCTGCTGGTACCAGGTGCATGGAGAATCTCCCCTAATTCATGGTTTCTACACTGAAAAAGGTGATATTGAGGTGGATAATCAGCTTCTCTACTATTTTGGGTAATTTGGCAGAAGACCTGTTCCATACCTCAACACACAGGAAACATCATGGATACCTGAAGGGAGACCTATCTCTGAGGACAGCCAGAGACAAAGTGGGGAGGTAGGAGCACCTCCTCATCCCTGGAAACTCTTCTCTATTACTTGGCCAAACAATAAATCAGAGTTGTAGTTCAGTAACACCATTCTGTAGGAGGTACATGCCACAGGTCTTGTGGGCACAAACCCTTAGCCAGCCCTTCCACACTGCTGAGACATCCCCTTTGGGACCTCCCTCATCCCAGATGGGCAGGGGTCTAGGCCACTATCTAGTGACAAAAAGGAGACAGTGACCTAGGAAAAAAAGTATAGGAAACTCAATAAAGTTTGAAGAATCTCTAAGCAAACATAATCAATAAGAACCAAAACAAGACTGGGCATGGTGGCTCATGCCTGCAATTCCAACACTTTGGCAGGTTGAGGTGGGTGGATCATGAGGTCAGGCATTCAAGACCAGCCTGGCCAACATAGTGAAACCTTGTCTCTATTAAACATACAAACAAAAATAGCTCGGCGTGGTGGCTGGTGCCTGTAGTCCCAGCTAGTCAGGAGGCTGAGGCAGGAGAATCACTTGAACCTGGAAGGCAGAGGTTGTGGTGAGCTGAACTCACGTCACTGCACTCCAGTCTGGGTGACAGTGTGAGACTCCATCTCAAAAAAAAAAAAAAAAAAAAAAAAAAAACAAACCAAAAAGCAAAAAAATCAAACCAGGCCAGTGCTGCGGCAGGTGGATCACCTGAGGTCAGGAGTTTGACACTAGCCTGGCCAACATGGTGAAACGTCATCTATACTGAAAATACAAAAATTAGCTGGGCATGGTGGCTCGTGCCTATAATTCCAGCTACTTAGGAGGCTGAGGCTGGAGAATCACCTGAACCCAGGAGACAGAGGCTGCGGTGAGTTGAGATTGCACCAGTCCACTACAGCCTGGGTGACAAAGCAAGACTCTGTCTTAAAAAAACAAAAACAACCAAAAACAAGCCTGACAGAGAAGACTGGAATAAATAACTAATCCTTCAAAGACACAGACATATATCCACAAGAAACAACAGCAAACAGGGAGCCACAAACTCTTCAAATGGACAAAGCAAGGAACCAGTGACTGATCCTGACAAGACACTGACACCTAAGCTCTCTGGCCAAGAATTCAAAATTAAGACATCAAGAAAACTCAGTGATCTCCAAGATAACCACAGAAAATAAATTCAGAAAATTATCATAACAATTTTTTTTGAGGCGGCCGGGCACGGTGGCTCAAGCCTGTAATCCCAGCACTTTGGGAGGCCAAGGCGGGTGGATCACGAGGTCAAGAGATCGAGACCATCCTGGTCAACATGGTGAAACCCTGTCTCTACTAAAGGTACAAAAAATTAGCTGGGCATGGTGGCGCATGCCTGTAATCCCAGCTACTCAGGAGGCTGAGGCAGGAGAACTGCCTGAACCCAGGAGGCGGAGGTTGCGGTGAGCCGAGATCGCGCCATTGCACTCCAGCCTGGGTAACAAGAGCGAAACTCCGTCTCAAAAAAAAAAAAAAAAAAAAAAAAAAATTTTTTTTGAAATTTTCTTTTTTGAGACAGGGTCTCATTCTGTTGCCCAGGCTGGAATGGTGTAATCACAGCTCACTGCAGACTTGACGACCTGGGCTCAAGGGATCCTCCTGTCTCAGCCTCCCATGTAGTTGGAACCACAGGTGCACATCAGCACACTTGGCTCATATCAGAGAAATTTAACAGAGACTGAAATAATAAAAAATGTCAAACAAATCTTGGAATTGAGAAATCTATTTCCCGACCTGAAAAACTGATTGGTGGATCTCAACAGGAGAATGGATCAAGCAGAGGCAGGCATCAGTGAGCCTGAAGACAAGCTATTTGAAATTACGCAGTCAAAGGAGAACAACAAGAACAAAAGAATAAAAAGGACCAAAACTTGCCTACAGGATATAGAAAAATACAAATCCTAAGGATTATTGGTGTTCAAAAGGGAGCTGAGCAAGAGCAAGAGGTAGAAAGTTTATTCAAAGAAATGATAACAGAACACTTTCCAAAACTTGAGAAAGATAAATTTCCTGGTATAGGAAGGTCAGAGAACACCAACTAGATTCAATCCAAAAAAAAGGCTGCCCCAAGTCATATAAAAAACTCTCCAAAGCCAAGGACAAAGATAGGTTCCTAAAAGTAGAAACAGAAAAGCAAATAACATATAAAGGAACTCCAATTCATCTAGAAACAGACTTCTCAAAAGAAACCATACAGGCCAAGAGGAAGGAGACTATCATTTTCAAATGTCTAAAAGAAAAACACTGCCATACATGAATATGTTATCCAGCAAAAGGATCCTTCAAATATGAAAAAGAGATACAGTCCTTCCCAGATAAACAAAAGCTAAGAGAATTTACCACGAACAGGCACATCTTACAAGAAATGCTAGAGGAGTTCTTTAATTTGAAAGAAAAAAACTTGCTAATGTGCAAAAAGAAAACATTTGAAGATATAAAACCCACTGGTAAAATCAAATACAGAGACAACCCCAGAATACTCTAATACTGTAACTGTGGTATACAATCTACTTATAACTCTAGTATGAAGCCTAAAAAAGTAATCTACCAAAAAGAACAGCTACAGCAACCTGTTAAGACATAGTCAATATACAAATTTGTAAATTAAGACAACTAAAAGTCAGAATGTGAGAGAGACAGAGTTAAAGTGTAGAATTTTTTGGAGATTTTTCTTTGTGGGTGTTTTGCTTTGTCTCGTTTGTTGTTTTTTAGAGACTGGGTCTTGTTCTGTCACCCACACTTGAAGTACAATAGTGTGATTATAACTCACTACAGCGTTATACTCCTGGGCTCCAGTGATCCTCCTGTCTCAGGTTCCTGAATATCTGGGACTACAAATGCATACCACCATGCCTAGATAATTTTGTGTGTGTGTGTGTGTGTGTGTGTGTGTGTGTGTGTGTGTGTGTAGAGATAGGGGTCTCACTATGTTGCCCAGGCTAGTGTTAAACTTGTGGCCTCGAGCAATCCTCTCATTAAGCAATTAAGAAGCAACTAATAAGTTAAACAATTATTTGTTTAAATAATTAAAAATTATTTAAACAAATAAAAAGGGAAATATAATGTACCAAAATCTATGGAATACAGCAAAAACAGTGCTAAGACGGAAGTTTATAGCAACAAATATCTGTAACAGAAAAGTTGAGGCTGGGCATGGTGGCTCATGCCTATAACCCCAGCACTTTGGGAGGCAGACCCAGAGGACTACTTGAGCCCAAGAGTTCGAGACCAGCATGGGAAACACGGTAAGACACCGCCTCTACAAAAAATTAAAAATCAGCTGGGCATGGTGGCACACATATGTAGTACCAGCTAATTAGGAGGCTGAGGTAGGTCTGAAAGTTCAAGGTTGAAAGTTCTGCTTGTGTCTGAAAGTTCAAGGCTCTAATAAGCCATGATCTTGCCACTGCACTCCAGCCTGGGCAACAGAGTGAGACCCTGTCACACAAACACACAAAAAGACTTCAAAAAACAACCTAGTTATGATGTATGTCAAGGAACTGGAAAAGAATAAACCAAACCCCAAGTTAGTAGAAGGCAAGAAAGAAAAAAGATCAGAGCAAAAATAAATGAAATTGAGACTAAAAAACAATCCAAAAAAATCGATGAAATGGAAAGTTGGTTTTTAAAAAAAGGTAAAACAAAAATCAACGAACCTTTAAGGTTGACTAAGAAAAAAAGAGAGAAGACCCAACAAATAAAATGAGAAACAAAAAAGAAGACATAACTGTGACCACAGAAATACAAGGAATCATGAAAGCCGATTACAATCATATGCCAACAAATTATAAAACTTAGAAGAAATGGATAAATTCCTGGACACTTACAAGCTACCAAGATTGGACCATGAAGAAATAGAAAACTTCAACAAACCAATAACAAGTAATAAGATAGACACTGTAATAAAAAGTCTTCTACAAAAGTAAAGTCCAGGACCTAATGGCTTCACTGCTGAACTCTACTGAACATCTGAAGAAGAAATATTATCAATTCCTGCTCAAACTCTTCAAGAAAATTGAAGAGGGTGGAATACTTCCAAATTCATTCTACAAGGCCAGCATTACCCTGATACCAAAACCAGACAAAGGCACAACCAAAAATGAAAACTACAGGCCAAAATCACTGATGCACAGATGTAAAAATCCTCCACAAAATACTAGCAAACTAAATTCGACAATATTTTTCCTCAATTTAAAAAATAATTTTTATTTTATTTTATTGACAATTAACAGTATATGTTTATTGTGTACAACACGGTGTTTTAAAAATTATTATGATACTTTAAGTTCTGAGATACATGTACAGAACATGCAGGTTTGCTACATAGGTATACATGTGTCATAGTGATTTGCTGCACCCATCAATCTGTCACCTACATTAGGTATTTCTCCTAATGCTATCCCTCCGCTAGCTCCCCATTCCCTGATGGGCCCGGTATGTGATGTTCCCTTCCCTGTGTCCATGTGTTCTCGTTCAATTCTCACTTACGAGTGAGAACACGCAGTGTTTGGTTTTCTGTTCTTGTGTTAGTTTGCTAAGAATGATAATTTCCAGCTTCATCTATGTCCCTGCAAAGGACATGAACTCATGCTTTGTTATGGCTGCACAGTATTCCATGGTGTATATGTGCCACATTTTCTATATCCAGTCTATCATTGATGGGCATTTGGGTTGGTAATACCTTTTAAATAAATTAAAAAGATCATTCACCATGACCAAGTAACATTCTTCCCAAGGATGCAAGGATGGTTCAACATGCACAATCAAAAAATGTGATACATTAACAGAAGCCAGAAACCATATATATCGTTTCAATAGATGCTGAAAAGCATTCAACAAATTGCAACATCCCTTTATTGCAAAAATCCTTAACAAATGGTACAGAAAGAAAATACCTCAAAATAACAAAGGCCATATATGACAAACCCAGAGCCAACATAATACGGAATGGGGAAAACTTGAAAGCCTTTCCTCTAAGATCTGGAACAAGCCAAGGATGCCCACTTTCACCACTTTTATTTGACATAATACCATAAGTCCTAGCCAGAGCAATTAGTCAAGAGAAAGAAATAAAGGGCAACCAAATTGGAGAAGAATAAGTCAACTTAGCTTTGTATGCAGACTACACAATCTTGTATTTAGAAAAACCTTAAGACTCCACTAAAAACTGTTGGAAGTAATGAGCAAATTCAGTAAAGGTATACAATATAAAATCAAGATCACAAAAATCAACAGCATTTTAATACTCCAACAGCAATCTGAAAAAGAAATCAAGAAAGCAATTCTATTTACAATAGCTTCAAATAATATAAAATACCTAAGAATCAATTTAACTAAAGATGTGAAAGATCTATACAAGGAAAACTATAAAACACTAATAAAAGAAATAGAAGAGGACATAAAAAAATAGAAGGATATTCCATACTCATGGATTGAAGTAATAATATTGTTAAACTGATAATACCACTCGAAGCAATTTACAGATTCAATGTAATCCCTTTAGAATACAAACAACATTCCTCAGAGATAGAGAAAAAAAAAAAATCCTAAAGTAAATTGGAACCACAAAAGACCCCAAACAGCCAAAGCAATCTTGAGCAAAAAGAACAAAGCAGGAGATCACACTAACTGACTTCAAAATATACCATATAGCTATCCAATCAGCATGGTACTGGTATAAAAACAGACACACAGAACAGTGGAACAGAATAGAGGACCCAGATATAAATCTACACATTTAAAGCCAACTCATTTTCCACAAAGATGCCAAGAACATACAACAGGGAAAGGGCAGTCTTTTCAATAAATGGTGCTGGGAAAACTGGATAGCCATATATAGAATAATAAAACTGGACCCCTATCTCACACCATATACAAAAGTCAAATCAAAAGTGGATTAAAAACTTGCATCTATGACCTGAAACTATAGAACTGGTAGAAAAAAATGTTGGAGAAATGCTCCTGGACATTGGTGTGGGCAAATATTGTTTGTATAAGACTTTAAAAGCATAGGCAACAAAAGTAAAAACATACAAATGGGATTATATCAAGCCAAAAAGCTTCTGCACAGCAATGGAAATAATTAACAAAGTAAAGAGACAACCCACAGAATGGGAGAAAATATTTGCAAACTATCTATTTGACAAGGAATTAATAATCAAGAACATACAAGGAGCTCAAACAACTCAATAGCAAAAAAACTCTGAATAATCTAATTTAAAAATGGGCAACAGATTTTCATAGACAGTTATCAAAAGAAAGCATACAAATGGCCAAAAAGCATGTGAAAAAATGCTCAACATGACTAATTATCAGAGAAATGCAAATTAAAACCACAATGAGATATCATCTCACCCCAGTTAGGATAGCTTTTATCAAAAAGATGAATAACAGATGCTGGCGAGGATGTGGAGAAATGGGAACTCCTGTACACTGCTGGTGGGAATGTAAATTAGTATAGCCACTATGGAAAACAGTGTATGACGGTTCCTCAAAAAACTAAAAACAGAACTACTATACAATCCTGAAATTCCACTACATACTGAGTAAACATCTGAAAGAGAGGAAATCAATATATCAAAGAAATATCTGCCCCTGGTATACATAAACAGGAAATATTTAAACAGCCATGAAAATGAATGAAATGCTGCCATTTGCAGCAACATGGATGGACCTGGACGTCATTATGCTAAGTGAAACGTGTCAAGCACAGAAAGACAAACACTGCTTGTTCTCACTCATATGTGGGTGCTAAAAACTGGTTACCAAAGACCAGTAAAAGGAAGAGGGAGGAGACGTGAAGAGAGGTTAATTAATGGGCACCAAATATATGCTTAGAAGAAATAAGACCTGGTATTCAATAGGTATCAATGGGGTGAAACTAGTTAACACTAATCCAGCGTACATTTCAAAATAGCTAGAAAAGAATAATTCAAACATTCCTAGCATAAAGAAAAAAATAAAGTGATAAATATCCCAATTACCCTGACTTAATTATATGTCTCAAATTATCCTATGTAACCCAAAAATATGTATATCTCATATGTACCAATAAAAGTACATAAATTTTTATGTATTTAGTTTTTTTCTTTTTTTTTTTTTGAGGCAGGATCCTGCTGTGTAACCAGGCAGGAGTGTAGGGGCATGATCTCAGCTCAGTGCAACCTCTGCCTCTGGGCTCAAGTGATCTTTCCATCTTAGCCTGCTGAGAGCTGGGACCACAGGTGTACACCACCATGCTTGGCTAATTTTTTTTATTTTTGGTAGAGATGGAGTCTCACCATGTAGCCCAGGCTTGTCTTGAACTCCTGAGCTCAAGCAATCCTCCTGCCTTGGCCTACCATAGTGCTGGGATTACAGGTGTGAGCCACCACACCCAACCAAAAGTAAATAAACCTTTAAAAAAAAAAAAAGAAATGCATATATGAAAATAAAATAATCTTTTCTAGCCAGGGGTAGTGGCCCATGCGTATAATTCCAATACTTTGGGAGGTCAAGGTGGGAGGATTGCTTGAGCCCAGGAGTTTGAGATTATCTTGGGCAACACAGTAAGACCCCATCTCCACAAAATTTTTTTTTTAAATTAGCCAGGCAGAGTGGCATATGCCTATAGTCCCAGCTACTTGGGAGGCTGAGGTGGGAGGATCGCTTGAGCCCAAGAGGTAGAGGCTACAGTGAGCTGTGATTATGCCACCGCATTCCATCCTGGGTGACAGAGTGAGAGCCCACATCAAAAACAAACAAAATAACCTTTTCTGTTTGGATGCTGGAAAATTATATAAAACAATCACATACTTTATTAGCTAGGTTTTCTTGCAAATTTGCGATCTTTTCTGTCTTCTCATCTACAGTATCCTGGAGAAAGTCTTTTTCTTTATCAATAACACCAATCGTCTTTTTCATTACATGAGCCTCCTCATCCTGTGAAGTCATCTTAAGGTTTAGTTCATCTATAAATGAAAAGAAATGTTTGTTAGACAAAGTATATTAGGATTTGCAGTAGGAAGATTTTAAAACACTTACCTATTTTTTCCTCCAGTATTTTAATTTGTGCTTGGGCTGAGTCAAGTTCACTCCTTTTTATGGAAAGTCGGTGCTGACAGTCATCAAGCGACCGTTGTAGCTGCTCATTCACCATCCTAAAGAATCAGTGGATAAAAACAAATGGTATTCTTTATCTCTCATAGAAATACTTTCAAAAAATGAGATGTCTTAAAATATTTTGAGGTCTTATTTTTAAAGTTTCTGTTATTTTTTTATTTTAAAGCTCTTCCAGTATAATCAATGGCATTATATATTATTATTTCCTGCTGTCTACCATTCTTCTTCCAAATGGTTCCATCTTCCGTGATTGTGCCACTGTACTCCAGCCTGACAGAGTGAGACCCTGTCTCAAAAATAAGTAAAGTAAAATAAAATGGTTATCAATTACCTTAACAAATAAATACTTCTCATGGGAGACTAGTTACCTTTGGTTTTCTGAATACATCTAAAGAAATCCTAGTAAAACAACTAATATATATTGGCTAGAGTTTATGGGTAATTTCCAGGAAAATCTGCTACAGCATTTATTTGATCCTAGATAAGAGTATACCCTCTGGTTTTGAACATACACACATAAAGACTACGGTGAATTGAAGACAGTCTGACAGTATTTTCAGCTGCAGGATTCTCACTGTTTAGAGCCTCACAGCTGGCAGTTGTGAGGCATAAGGATGTTTACTAGGGGTTGATTGAGAAAAGTAAATTGTCCAACTGGGCTGGAAACAATTTTTCCTTGAGCAGAGGTTGACAAACTATAGCCAGATGCCAGTTTCTGTAAGGCCTGAGTAGTATGGTTTTTACATGCTTAAATGACAAAAAAAATTTCAACAGAAAATTATTATTTTGTGACATATGAAAATTATATGAAATCCAAATTTCAGTGTCCATAATGAAGTATTATAACATAACCACACTACTTCATTTTATATACTGTCTAGGGCTACTTTCAGGCTACAAAGGCAGTGTTAAGTAGGTGTGACATAAACTATGTAGCCCGCATAGTCTCAGGGTGTCCACGGGAGTAATACAGTCATGGGTTCTTAGGTTCTGTTTCTGGTTGGGCCAGTAAAGTCTTTCTCATCCCTCTTTTTCGCTTATTACTAGAGATAGAAACTAAAAACCATGACTTCAGGCTGCTGAAAGCCTAAAACAAAACAAAACAAAACAAAAAATGAAACAAAACAGAATAACAACGAAATATGGTGGGTTGGATAAGCTTGGTCTAAAATATTGACGCTTGTCTATTTACAAAAAAAAGACTGTTGACCCCAGCTCTAAAGACTGGCTAGCATGTTCTGGGAAACTATCCTTCCTGGGTAGACAGAAGCTCCCTTACAGTATTATGTAGCTTTGATCCGGGGTATAAAATGCCAGATCTCAACAAACGATGCAAATAAAGGGAATGACAGTAATTTAAGACATGGTTAAAAAATGAGATTTTATATTACGTCCTCTGACAACAGACACAGAACTTAGACAAAAGATTCTCTATTTGGAGAATTAAAGATTACGGTTGATACAAAAAAGTCTGTTTGTTGGTAATTTGGTGAAAAATGCTTGACGCAGGAAGGAAAAAAGAAGATAGGTACCTCAGGGAAATGGAGAGGAACATACGCCTTACCTGCCTGAAACAGTCTCTGTCGCCCAGGCTGGAGTAGAGTGGCATGATAACATCTCACTATAGCCTTGAACTCCTAGGCTCAAGCAATACTCCTGCCTCAGTCTCTCAGGTAGCTGGGGATATAGGCACATGCTACCACGCCTGGCTGATTTTTGTTATTTTTTGCAGAGATGAGATTTCCCTATGTTGCCCAGGCTGCTCTTGAATTCCTGGGCTCAAGTAATCCTCCCACCTTGGCCTCCCAAAGTGTTGACACTACAGGCATGAGCCACCATGCCCTGCCCTGAGTCTCAGCTTCTTAAATGTCTTTATATCAAGGAAAAGAGAATGTGCTGTCATCAGAGGGGTAGCAAGAGCTCTATTAATCATGTTGAAAGTGTCAAGAGGTTCAGATAACATGATTTTGCTTCCCAAGAGTGCTGGCTATTATGGTTTGTCTTTGGTTTTGCTTTGGACTTGGATTCAATGGTTTCAACTCATGGTTCTAACAATACTTATTGATACAGAGAATATGATTGATATACACTTTCCTGAGAGACAAGTCATATTTCTCTGTTAGAGCAAAACAAATTTATGAAATAATGCCATATCCCCAGGTTATATAAGGTAATCTGGTAGAAAGGTAGACAAAAATTCTCACAATGGCACAGTGACTGCATTACTCCTAGGTGAAGGAACAGGTAGATTGAGCTCACAAGAAAAAAGGATATTAGTATTAGTACAAGAAATAAAACTCCAAAGGAGCTATAGGCTAGGTTATCCAAGAGAGGGCAATGAGAGCTCTGCCTTCTAAGACTGGAAAAAGCCTCGTGTGAGGAAAAAAGGTGTTTCAGCTATAATCTCAAGGAAAAGCAAAATGGATTAAATGCTAGATCCAGTCAGCTGGACACGAAAGTGAAATTGTGGATGACAAGAATGTACCATGTTATCTGTACTTTGGAGCTGAATCCAGACATGAGCCAGAGGAGATACTGGTCATTTGGCTCTACTCTTGCATAAAAAAGGAAAGAAAAAAGTGGTATCTACTTTAGTTCTTCCTGAGGTCTAACCTATCAAAACTATAGTCAAAAAAGCAAAAGAGCAAAACTGGAGATGCTCTTTAAGAGTTACTAATGTAGTATTCCTTAATTAACTAGATACACCCAGTTCTTGGTCTTATTTCATTAAGTCATTAGCTAATCAGAACCCTTATGAACTAGTCTCAGACCTTTATTTTCCTAATTCCTTTGATTCTCACATTTACTCTGTTTACTGTAAACTTTTGTGATTCCTAGTTTTTTGTATATTGGATCTATGTCTTTTTTTCTCATCACTTCTTTTTGTTTTTTGGAGTTCTGGGGTGACTTTCATTAGTTTGTTTTCTATTTCACCAACTCACATTTCTGCAATATCCAATGCCATTCATTAACTTTTCAGTTTTGTTAATCTTTTTTTAAAAGTGTCATTATTATAATCCTTTCTGATCCCAAGTTGTCACTGTTTCATGATTGTTTCACAGATGTAATGTCTCACTGACATGTGAAAATCGTTTTCTAATTCGACTGCAAATGTAATTTAGAGAGGTAATTCCCCAGACTCTCCAGAGTGGTCCCCTTCTTCCGACCTTCAGAATCTTTTTACTTATTGCAGCTACCCTGACCAGAAAAAAGCTTTGTTTCTCTTTTGTTTCCTTGAATCTTCTGTATTCTTAATTAATTAATGACTAACTAACAACCCAATATGCTAAGGTAAATCTTCTACTTACTGTATTTCTCAGCCCCATATTAGTTATCCAAACCTTTTGATTTTATGTAAGAAGTGTTTCTTAAATTTGATCTCTATTCTCTGAGTTCATTACCACTGCTTCAGTCCAGATCCCCGGTCTTCTTTATTTGCCATCAATCTCTAAGATTTCAAATCCATGTTATGTATTTCCACCAGAGTTAGCTTCCTAAAAGGAATACTAGTCATACGTCTCACCTCCCTACTTAAACATTTCTAAGTCAGAAAAGGTTAAAAACAGATAAATTATCTGACTTTACATTTCTTTGAAAGAGGCAAGAAAGAGAAAGAAAATGGCATAGGTAGTAAGCAATTCTGTAATTTTCAGCAATCTTACACTATGGAATACAAATGATCTGAAGTATTTAAGAGGATTTCAAAAGGAAGGAGGTTGAAAAAACCTGCCTGCAATCATATTAATCTGTGAAATTTCTTTTGAAAAATACAGATACCCAAAACCTACCCCAGTAGATTCTCAGTGAATTAGAACCTCCAGAAATCAGCCCCCTAAATTCATACTTTTCAAAAGCTCCCAGGTGAGTCTGCTGCAAAGCCAACTTCTAAAACTGGCACAAAGGCCCAGTCCAAAATGCCATGGTTATAAACTTTATATAACCACAAACACATTCCCAGAAATGAAATTAGAAAATGTTGAACAAACTTACCTAAGTGAGTTCACCTCCGTTTTCTGATGAGATGAGTCACCAGCCACATGGCTAAATTTTTGAGCTTGGACTTTTAATTTGTTCTCTAACGACTCTATTGTTTCTTTCATTATTAACACTTTAGACTTTAATTCGTATTTTTCACTTTCAAGCTATAATTTAAATTTAAAAAATAATAGGTATATATCTTAATATGTTAATTATATTTTTCTTAGGCACTCAAATAATATTTCAGGAAGAAAACTAAGAAAATATATTTACTTTTAAAAAAAACTTTAAAAGTCATGTGTACAGTTTAGGTTCTAGAAGTCAGAATGAGCATAAAATTTCTCTCTCCTCACTATTATTAAAGATACAAACAAAAAATAAAAAGCAAAAAGAGAAAAGAATATATCTATAACAGCAATGAAACACCAGAAGGGAAACCACTAGCAGAGTGAAAATTTTGAGGAATTTCTAAAACACAGTAAGTAAATAGGACTGAATTGAGGGGAGGAAAAACAGCACAAAGCATTGTAACTCAAACACAAAGTGGGCAAGATTTATGCGAAGAAACAGAGTAATTTTCCTGAAGAGCACAGAACATAACCTGACATAATGTAAAGGCACATGATGCTTCTTGATGGGAGCACAATATTATAAATGTAATAAACTTTCCTCAAATAATAGTAAATTCAGTGGAATTCCAATAAAAATTCTGATAGACCATGTTTTAAAAGGAGAACGGCCTAGATTTGGTTCTTAATTCACTTACAAAAAAAAAAAGAAAAGAAAAAACAAAAATACTTTTGGAAAAAACACAAGTATACTTGCTTTATAAGATATCAAAACAAGTGATAAAGTTATCACATGAGAGGCTGAGGTGGGTGGATCACGAGGTCAAGAGATCAAAACCATCCTGGCTAACATGGTGAAAACCCATCTCTACTAAAAAAATACAAAAAATTAGCCACGTGTGGTGGCGTGCACCTGTAGTCCCAGCTACTAGGGAGGCTGAGGCAGGAGAATCACTTGAACCTGGGAGGCAGCAGTTGCAGTGAGCTGAGATCGGAACCCTGCACTCCAGCCCGAGTGACAGAGCAAGATTCTGTCTCCAAAAAAAAAAAAAAAAAAAAAAAGTTATAATTAAAACAATGAAGATTTCACATACAAATGCACAAGCAAACATATGAAAGTGAAAACAGTGAAAAACATCATGTACAGATATAAATTTAGAAAAGATAGCAAATTTTTGGGAAGTAGGAAAAAGTATAAACTTAAAAAAATTAGTAGGGAGCTGGGTGTGGTAGCTCACTCCTGTAATCCTAGTACTTTGGGAGGCCAATGCAAGAGGATCACTTGAGGCCAGGAGGATTGCTTGAGTTTGAGACCAGCCTGGGAAACATTGTAAGATTCTGTCTCTACAACTTTTTAAAAAATCAGCTGGACATGGTGGTATACCTGTAGTCCTAGGTACTAGGGAGGCTGAGGTAGGAGGATCACTTGAGCCCCAGAGTTAGAGGCAGCAGTGAGCTATGATCATACAATAGCACTTCTGCCTGGGCAGCAGAGCAAGGCTCTGCCTCTTTAAAATAAATAAATTAAGTATAGGGACAAACCACTCAATGGAGAAAAAAATGGGGTAGGATTTCTTCTTATTTTACAGAAAAAATAAATTCTAGATGGAAAAATGACCTACATTTAAATTTTAAAACAAGTATTAGTAATAAATGTTAAGTCTTATAGTTAAAAGTGTGGACTGTCCACACATATTTTATCTCCCCTCCCTCTGAAAGAATCGCTAAAAAGACAGTATAGGAATAAGAATACACAGCTCAGAAAGTGAGGTTTTCAGATGAAAAAACTGAAATTGATGTTTTTATATTCAAAACATATTTAAAGGCGTAAGTCAGAGACACTGGAACTCTTGACAAAATTTAGCAATAGGTTCAGGGAAAACCAGGTAACAAAAAGCAAAGCAAACCAAAACAAAGTCAATTACTAACTAAAGAAAAAAAATCTACAAGAAAAAAGGCAGTTTTGCCAGCCCTACCACAACTCCATTATAGCACAAAAGCAGCCACGGACAATATGTAAATAAACAAGCAAAGCCATGATGCAAAAACAGACTGGAAGCTGCATATGCCCTGGAGATCGTATTTTGCTGAGCTCCATCAGGGGTACATATATAGAAAGGGAATTGTTGGCTCATAGGGTTTTTGTTTGTTTTTTGCTTTTGAGACAGAGTCTCATTCTGCCGCCCAGGCTGGAGTGCAGTGGCACGATCTCAGCTCACTGCAACCTCTACCTCCAGGGTTCAAGTGATTCTCCTGCCTCTGCCTCCCAAGTAGCTGGGACTACAGGTGCATGCCACCTTGCCTGGCTAATTTCCATATTGTTAGTAGAGATGAAGTTTCACCATGTTGGCCAGGCCAATCTTGAACTCCTAACCTCAAGTGATCCTCCTGCCTCAGCTTCCTAAAGTGCTAGGATTACAGATATGAGCCACCACACCTGGCCTATTATGTCTTACTATGACTCTAAAGGCTTCACATCTGGGAGGGCAAGTCTAGCACCATGTTGTTCTTTAAACTTTCTATGTGATGCTTGGCTTTTTGCTTCCACATAAATTTTAAGATCTATTGTCAATTCCTCCCCCTTGCCCCCACAAAACCTTCCTGAGATTTCAACTGGAACTACCTCAACTCTATAGATCCAAGTTGGTGAAAATTTATGTTTTTTTATAACCTTTTTTATTAACCTGATAAAATCCTCCACTTATTCAAGCTTCCTTTAACTACTTTCAATATGGTTGCATAATGTTTCCTATGAAGATTCTGTAAATTTATCCATAGATATCTTGTATTATTCATGACTACTAAAATTGAATGCGTTTTCTTTTTATTTATCTTGTTTGGGATTTGTCATGCTTTTGAAATTCATTTTGAATCAGAGGGTTCCTGTGTTTTCTTATCTAGAAAATCATCAATCATTATCTCTTCAAATACTGCGTTTCCCACATTCTATTATATTCTCCTTGAGCTCTAAGTTATTAGTCAACGTATTATATCTTCTCACCCTATTCTCCAACATTTTAACTTTTTTTTTTCTTTTTTTTTTTTATTGCATTTTAGGTTTTGGGGTACATGTGATGAACATGCAAGATTGTTGCATAGGTACACACATGGCAGTGTGCTTTGCTTCCTTCCATCCCCTCACCTGTATCTGTCATTTCTCCCCATGCTATCTCTTCCCACCTCCCCACCCCCCCTCCCCTCCCCCATTTCCCCCCAACGGATCCCAGTGTGTAGTGCTCCCCTCCCTGTGTCCATGTGTTCTCATTGTTCAACACCCGCCTATGAGCGAGAATATACGGTGTTTGATTTTCTGCTCTTGTGTCAGTTTGCTGAGAATGATGGTTTCCAGGTTCATCCATGTCCCTACAAAGGACGTGAACTCATCGTTTTTGATGGCTGCATAATATTCCATGGTGTATATGTACCACATTTTCCCTATCCAGTCTATCATCGTTGGGCATTTGGGTTGGTTCCAGGTCTTTGCTATTGTAAACAGTGCTGCAATGAACATTCGTGTGCATGTGCCCTTGTAGTAGAATGATTTATAATCCTTTGGATATATACCCAGTAATGGGATTGCTGGGTCAAATGGGATTTCTATTTTTAGGTCCTTGAGGAATCGCCACACTGTCTTCCACAATGGTTGAATTAATTTACACTCCCACCAACAGTGTAAAAGTGTTCCTATTTCTCCACATCCTCTCCAGCATCTGTTGTTTCCCGATTTTTTAATGATCGCCATTCTAACTGGTGTGAGATGGTATCTCAATGTGGTTTTGATTTGCATTTCTCTGATGACCAGTGATGATGAGCATTTTTTCATATGTTTGTTGGCCTCCCGTATGTCTTCTTTTGTAAAGTATCTGTTCATATCCTTTGCCCATTTTTGAATGGGCTTGTTTGTTTTTTTCTTGTAGATCTGCTTTAGTTCTTTACAAATTCTGGATATCAGCCCCTTGTCAGATGGGTAGACTGCAAAAATTTTTTCCCATTCTGTTGGTTGCCGATTCACTCTACTGACCGTTTCTTTTGCCGTGCAGAAGCTGTGGAGTTTGATTAGGTCCCATTTGTCTATTTTGGCTTTTGTTGCCATTGCTTTTGGCGTTTTGGTCATGAAGTCCTTGCCTACACCTATGTCCTGAATGGTTTTGCCTAGATTTTCTTGTAAGGTTTTTATGGTATTAGGTCTGATGTTTAAGTCTTTAATCCATCTGGAGTTAATTTTGGTGTAAGGTGTCAGGAAGGGGTCCTGTTTCTGCTTTCTGCACATGGCTAGCCAGTTTTCCCAACACCATTTATTAAACAGGGAATCCTTTCCCCATTGCTTGTTTTTGTCAGGTTTGTCGAAGATCAGATGGTTGTGGGTATGTTGTATTTCCTCTGAGGCCTCTGTTCTGTTCCATTGGTCTATATCTCTGTTTTGGTACCAGTACCATGCTGTTTTGATTACTGTAGCCTTGTAGTATAGTTTGAAGTCCGGTAGTGTGATGCCTCCTGCTTTGTTCTTTTTGCTTAGAATTGACTTGGCTATGCGGGCTCTCTTTTGGTTCCATATGAAGTTTAAGGTGGTTTTTTCCAGTTCTGTGAAGAAGGTCATTGGTAGCTTGATGGGAATAGCGTTGAATCTGTAAATTACTTTGGGCAGTATGGCCATTTTCACAATGTTGATTCTTCCTAACCATGAACATGGAATGTTTCTCCATCTGTTTGTATCCTCTCTTATTTCGTTGAGCAATGGCTTGTAGTTCTCCTTGAAGAGGTCCTTTACGTTCCTTGTTAGTTGTATTCCTAGGTACTTTATTCTCTTTGTAGCAATTGTGAATGGCAGTTCGTTCTTGATTTGGCTCTCTTGAAGTCTATTACTGGTGTATAAGGAATGCTTGTGATTTTTGCACGTTGATTTTGTATCCTGAGACTTTGCTGAAGTTGTTTATCAGTTTCAGGAGATTTTGGGCTGAGATGATGGGGTCTTCCAGATATACAATCATGTCATCTGCAAATAGAGACAATTTGATTTCCTCCTTTCCAATTTGGATACCCTTTATTTCTTTTTCTTGCCTGATTGCTCTGGCTAGAACTTCCAGTACTATATTGAA